GTTTGGGTTTGTGGGGGATGTTCTTTATCTTTACTGACTGTTCAATATTTTAAGAGCTAATGTATAATATAATACTGTATGTCAATTACATCTCAGTTTTTTTAAAAAAGGTAATATATATTGTCACAAAATAATTGTTCAATGTTTTAATACTAAGAGTCACAATTTAATCTGGTTCCAAGTGGGAATTTAAAGTAGAATTATGATTCATTTAAAATTTCCCTCTTGAGGGCGCCTGGGTGGCTCAGTGGGTTAAGCCGCTGCCTTCAGCTCAGGTCATGATCCCAGGGTCCTGGGATCGAGGCCCGCGTCGGGCTCTCTGCTCAGCCGGGAGCCTGCTTCCCTTCCTCTCTCTCTGCCTGCCTCTCTGCCTACTTGTGATCTCTGTCTGTCAGATAAATAAATAAAATCTTTAAAAAAAAAATAAAATAAAATTTCCCTCTTGATTCTTATTTTACAACAGCTGATGACAGGAAGGGAACAGAGTTTATGCCTCACAAGGTGGAAAGCCTGGTCCCCAAAATACCAAGGAAGGGCCAAAGCTGTCACATCTCCTAAGAGCACTTTTGTGTATTCAGACATTAAAGAGAATTTTAAAAAGAAAATTTAATAATATTTGATTAAAATGCAGATGTGTTAGCCTAGATAATTATAAAAATTCCCAATTTCTTTTTAAGCTAGATTTCCTAATTTAATTTATTACACACATTTAATTTCAAGAGCTTTGATAAAACAGGTAACAATGGTCTGTGTGTATATGTACAGAAAGAAATTTAAAGTTGATGTTTTAATTTTCTCCACATTTTCTGGTTACTTGATTCGATGCTGGTGCCAGAAAAATCTAACAGTCGAAAGACCATTTTTGAAGTTTCTTAACATACTAAAGAATCTGCCAAGATGTTGAAAGAGACTTCAGGAAATAACAGTCAAGAACACTATATATAATATGATCCCATTTTCATTAAAACAGAAACAACAAAGGTGGGAAAGTGCATGCTATGTAAATGGGGACAAAGCCTTCAGTGGCATATGGCAATCTGAGCAAGGGGAGTGGGAATTCCTACTTTCTACGTCTTTGTGGTACTTGGTTTGGTTTGGTTTGTTTTACAATGAATACATGTTACTTTTTTCACTTAAGCATTTATATCCTCCTTCTGCCATGTAATGGGTCACTCATAAATTATTCCAGACAGAGGACACTTTCTTGCCTGTTTGTTGGTTTGTTTTTGTTTTTGTTTTTTTTTTCAGTAGATTTAAAGCAGTTTTGGTAAATGTCTTTGACTACTCCAGTATCTCATAACTATTTCCCTGATGCTGTTTAAAGCCCAGTTTCTCAGGAGAAAGCTCATTAGCATACCCATGAGCGTGCATGCTTAATAAGAATAGCTATTACTTATTTGGACAATCACTACGTCCCAGATCATCTTCTAAGTACTTGATATATATTAACCTGTTAGTAGCTGCAGTTTACAAATGAAGAAATGAAGAAAAGAGACTTCCTGATGAGCAGAAAGAGTACTCCCTGCCCTTGAGTATAACATCGTTATGTTCCCTCTCAGTCGTCTCTTCTCAAAGCAAAATTAGCCCAGTTTCCGTTTCCATTCTTTCATTCAGGAAGTACCACTTGAAGATAGGCTATGTTCCCATGTCTGGGAGGGATGTGTGGATGGGTAATGCCTAATTTGTTCCTACGAAGGGCTTACAATCTAGTTAGAGGAGTGGGGCACTGAGGTGACCACCGGTCAACACCCGGAAAGTTCTGTGATGGTTCATGATGAGGCTCCAGTGAGAAGTGTGGCTTGGGCGCGCTGCTCAGGGTGGACTTTGGGGGAAGCAGGGCTCCGCAGGGAGGGTGGGCAGGCTCCGGTTAAGCCAGGATGAGCAGACTTCCTCCAAAACACAACTGTCCATCCAATTTCAGCAAGAAGGATGAGGAAGCCACTTGTATGTAGTTTCCTCTCTGATATTCTCTGATATTAACAACTTAGCGGCCACAAAACAGTGCCATTGTCTCAGCATATTTCTTTTTTGAATAGAAAAATGCCAGAGGCTTGAGAATATTCACTATTACCCCCAAGGTTATTTTTGTTTTGAATGAAAAAAAAAAAGAGAGAATGTGACCCGTGGCTGATTTCCTGACTGTGTCCTCAGGGATTTAAAACGTTTGGTTACCTGTGTTTTAAAGGCGGAAGCAAGGGTACCATGGTATGGGAGGTAAGATAGAGACAGGTGTGTGTGCTTGGGGCCGGTGAATAAACTTATGTGAGCAGGGACTCTAGAACGAGAGTCAGCGAACTTTTCCGGTATGGGGTGAAATGGTAAACGCTCTCCACTTTTTGGGCCACCTACAGTGCCTGGTGCAACTCTGCTATTGTGCCTTTGCGAGAGGAAAGCAGCCTTGAGGACGCGGGGAAGGAACGTGCATGACTATAAACTGCATTTACAAAAACAGGCAGTGGGCCATGCTTTGCCAACCTCCCCTGGAAGAAAAAGTTGGAACGGCGGGACCCTTGACCCCAGACCCAGAAGCTTTTATTTTGTTTCCTCCGTGACAGAGGATGTCAAAGCCTCATCATTTTTCTGGCCCTGGAGGCCCCAGTTCATGAGATCACGTGCCCCTTTGGTCATCAGATTTCATCCAAGCTATCCTACAGACCCGCTAAGAGAGCTGAGCTGTTTGCTCAAGCAGGTGCTGAAAAACATTGCAATCAGTTTTGCTCTCCAGCGCCTTAAGAGTTGACATTTGTGCGCATTTGTCATTTGGGCTCAGAGGGAAATAGCTGTGATTCTTAGTGTTACGAGACTAGCAAGGATGGGCTCCAGTATAAGGGAGGATGGGACAAGCTACTTAGCGGGAAATATGTGCAAGTCCATATTACTGTTAAGTGATTTCCAAGACCTGTGCTTTGTGGATTTGACCATGACCTGAGAAACATTGGCAGACTAGTGTGTCAGGGGAGAATTCTGCTCAAACACACGCAGGCATGTTCTAAATGCTCCTGAGAACTTCGCCAATAGGGTTGCTAGGCTGAGCAAATAAGAATCCGGGACAGTCACTTAAAATGGCCTTTCAGATAAGCAACAAAAAATATTTTAGGATAAGTGTTCTGCTCAATCTTAGGGACCTATTTATAATAAAAAATGATCTGTTGTTTATCAGAAATTCAAACCTATCTGAGCCTCTTATATTTTATCTGGCCAACCTAAATGGGAAGATAGGTGAGTAAGTAGTTTATTGCACTCTTATATCATTATGTGAGTTGATGAGCTATCCTTCCCCAAGGTTGTTACATATATATATATATAGAGAGAGAGAGAGAGAGAGGCAGGCCATGGGGGGGAACCTAATGGCTATATATATATATATATATATTTTTTTTTTTTTTTTTTTGGCCATGGGGGGAGTCTAATGGCCAAAGGGGGAGTCGGATCTCATTAATGCCAACTGATACAGAATTTTGATTATTTATGCAAGGGCTATGCTGAAGTGCACTCTATTCTCTTCATGAATTTACTCAGCCTGTTTATCATTGTTAGTACAAACAAAACTGAAACAATGATTTCTCTCCTTGGGAGACTACCCATAGTGTAATTACAGTGTGACCAGAGGCTACTGTTATTTAGCTTGTGCTTTTCATTTAACTATCACAGATCATTCTGTCATTCCATAAGCAAGACCAGACTTTACCAGGCACAGCCAGGTGCAGCCACCTCAGTCCCTGTGGCCCCTTGGCATGCCGTCTATTCGCATGACACAGCATGTGCCTGCAGCCTCTGCTGTCGTGTTCCTCGTGCTCTCTAGAACCTCCCACAATGCTTGCTACTTATAAGGCACCCTATAAATGTTAGTTGAATTAATGGGTGAGTACTATCTGCAGATGTTAAAATAAACCATCTTACATGTTAAACACCTTACATGTTAAATTAACATCTTACATGTTAAATTTAAAATAAATAAATTAATTAAAATAAATAAAATAAATAAGTAAAATTAAAAAATAAATTTAAAATAAAATAAACATCTTACATGTTAAATTTAAAAAATTATTTGAGCTGCTCTTTCCCTTATTGCAAATGGCCGTACAGAGAAGAAATTTTTGGTCAAGTTAGTTTCATGGTATAATGGCCTTTGAGAAGCTAATCCTGAAAACATATTGAAATGCCAAAAGTGTTTTTTGGGCGGGGAGAGACAGGGAGGTTCTTGTAAATTCACCATGAGCCGCACCCTTGTGAGTTTCTTCTTCTCCTTGTGGAAGGAGGGGTCTCAACACCATGAGGTTGCTAATGATATTAACAAGGTTCAGCTTGAGGTCTTCCTTACTTGCCCCCATTTGCCCTGATCATGTATACACACACACACACACACACACACGTACACACACACGTGTGCACATGCCTATACTTAAGTAAATCCCCATACATCATCCAAATAAATGGAAGGGATTCTTTTGACTGGATATCAATATGGTTGTCACACATAAGTAATACATTAATGACTTCGATAAATATGTAGATATTTACATTCTAAACCACGACTGTATTATTAAAGACCACTGTATACAGGCCATTTGAAAGAGCCTGAGAACCCAGTGATGTCTGGACCACTCTTGAGGGAATTAAACATGGGTGTTTTATTTATGAAAAGGGTACTGCCACCATTCCTCTTGCCCGGTATTGGTCTGCATCTTAGCCTTGAAAACATATTCAGATGAGGCTTGGTCTCTCAGTTTCCACCTGTGGCTTTGTTCCCTCTATTTCTGCTAGCAGAGAAAAAACATGAATGGGAACTGGGAAGTTAAGAATGAAATCCCCCCCCTGTCCCTAATCCCACCCACATCTCTGGAGTATTTTTCCTAGAGATGTGGGGAATTCAGGAGGTGCACTGAATACAGGTCAGCAGCGAAACAGAGCTGGGCATGCAGTTCCTTGCATGTGATCCTTTCTTTAAGAGAGTGGAGTCATGGTCTGACTGTTCCCTTTTGTTCTCCCTTCTCTCACAGCACCCTGGAGGGGTATTATGTGGACGATGCCCTGCAGGGCCAGGGAGTGTACACTTATGAGGACGGGGGTGTGCTGCAGGGCACATATGTAGACGGAGAGCTGAATGGGCCCGCCCAGGAGTATGACACGGATGGGAGATTGATCTTCAAGGGGCAGTACAAGGATAACATTCGGCATGGAGTCTGCTGGATATACTACCCAGTAAGCCTGGTGACTGTTCATTTTGCTGGAATGTAACATGGGTTAAACCGATGCTTTGGCTCCTGGCAATAAAGAGTAAAATGTATCCTCTGTGTTAGAAAATGTGAAGCTGTGAAACTGGAGAGTTGCAGGAGCTGAAGCCCCCAGCTGCTGCTGAGGTGTGCCCCTCCCTGTTACTCGCTGTCCTCCTAGACTGTGGGTCCTCACAGCCACTATTCATTCCTCCTCGGTGTTGTTCTGGAAAGGAATGAATAGTCATGATTCAAATAAATTGGAACTAAATGGCTTTATTGTTCCACTAATAAATATAAAAAATATATGCTTTTTAGAAATATTCTTTTGGGGGGGGCGCCTGGGTGGCTCAGTCGGTTAAGTGTCTGCCTTCGGCTCAGGTCATGATCCCAGGGTCCTGCGATCGAGTCCCGCATGGGGCTCTCTGCTCAACGGGGAGTCTGCTTCTCCCTCTCCCCCTGCCTGCCACTCACCCTGCTTATGCTCTCTCTTATTAAAAATAAATAAATAAATAAAATATTTAAAAATATGTATATATAGAAATATTCTTTTGGTATATAGAAAGAGATGGTGGACTAGTTCATTGTTGCTATTAATTTTATTCTGGTTCTCATGCAGGAGACCTGTCCCAGCATTATCCCATCTTCGGGGATGTACTGCACTATTATTAGTTGCTCTTACAACCCTACTCCCGACTTTATAAGTGATTTTTGGCTTATGTTGCTTAAATTAAGGTGATTAAAATTAACTTGCCTTTGAGTATTTGATAACATTTTCCAATACTTTTGGAGTTTACTAGAGCAAAATGATGTGACACAACCCATGGGGTTGGGAATTAATGTTCTAATTGTTTGCATCTCAAATAGCCCATCTGTTATTAGTGAATTTTCAGAAAATGTGCCAGGAAATAGACCTTAGAAAATATTTTGTTTACTATTTTGTCCGTGGCATCTCGCTGATTTGAGTCAGTAGAGCTTGCAACTCTTGATCTTGGGGTTATCAGTTGAAGCCCTGTGTGGGATATAGAGCTTACTTAAAAAATAATAATAATAATAATAGTAATATTTTATTTCCTCCAGAGCTTCAGTCAAAATACAAAAGCATTTTTCTTACTCTGAACCCTATCTTCTTATGCTTAAAAAAGGTTAATAAAAACAAATGATCTATTACATGTGTAATAGGAAAAGTAGCCCCAGCTAAATCTCCTTACACATTATTGTTCTTTAAAAACAGGTTATACTCTAGGGAACAGGGCTTAAGGAAAGAAGACTGTAAAACATGTTTAAAATAATGCCCAAAGCAATGACATATCTTCTTGGTAGGCTCTGCAATAGATCCAAAGTCCTTTCGGTTACTGCCTCTAAGGCAGGAAGAAGGACGTGGTGGCGGTACTTACCAGCTTAGGAAGACTGAAACTTTTGTTTCCTTGTGAGGAGGCCGGGGGAGCATTTGCTGCCTGGCACCGGGGATCTGCTGACATGACAGTGAATCATGAAGTCAGAGAATGTGGAACCCTCTGTGGGAGCCTGGGTAGAGGAAAGAGGCAAAACGGGGATTACCAGAGCCTCCTCCCACCTGCCATCTTACTTACGATGATCAATTAAAGTCTCTCGAAGAGATCAAAGATGCACCAAGATGAATGGATCCAGTCCACTCAGTGTAGTTGCATCTTGACGCCTAAATGGTGTGCCTACATTTTAGCCTTTGGTGTTAATGATTATCTTATCAAAGGCCAAAAGGAGACTCTGCCTTGGGAAAGAAGCACTAGGGAGATAGGAGCATCCAAAATTAACTTGGAATAACACTTGCTTTATATATGATATCTGTTGGCAGTGAGGGAGCTAATCATCCCTTTTTCCCCCTGGATTCAGATTCAACCGAGACACCTGTGTCTCTAGGTGTCAGAGATCAAGGTGGGTTTATTCTAATGGCAGTGGCGGATTGGAGATGGGGTGTGGACCTGAAGGCAAAATGGGCTTCTCTGCTTTCCCCCCCGTGAACTAAACAGTTGGACCAGCAGTAGATAGAGCTCTAGAAAGTTGCAGGTCTCCCTGGGGGGAGTAGGGCCTGCCTGAGGGAGCTTCCCCAAGGAGAGGACAGGACGGGAGAGGGGGACAGGTGCAGCCTGCAGGCACCGGCAGCCGCCAGGACAGCGTGAGTGAAAATGTAGCAGGACCTCTGGGAGCAGCTGGCTTTATCCTGTTAACCCCCACCCAATAAAGAGATGGGTGTCACTGGGTGTCAGACCCTGCTTGCTCACTAATCAAATGAATGATTCCTTCTCCCATGAAGAGGAGCCACTGAGCAGAGGACAGAAGGCAGCGCCTTCCTCCTCGATGCTCCCCGACACAGCAAAACAAGGACGTTTTTGTGATCTGGAGTCAGAGCAGGCAGGGAAAATCATGATTGGCCCTGTAGTATTTATAAGCTTGCTCTCAGGATAGCTTATGTCCTTCAAATTTTTACCTTGGAACAGTGATGTCGCTTGGGTGGCTCAGTCAGTTAAGCGTCTGCCTTCGGCTCAGGTCGTGATCACAGGGTCCTGGGATCGGGCCCCGCATCTGCTCAGCAGAGAGCCTGCTTCTCCCTCTGCCTGCAGCTCCCTCTGCTTGTGCTCTCTCTATCTCTGTCTCTCTGAAAAAAAATGAATAATCTATTTTTAAAACGTATACCTTCTTTTCGAAATAAAAGAAGAATCTCTGCTTTATCATACTAGACAAATACATTCACCACCTCCTTGACCAGAAGTTTAAGGTACTTAAGGAAAAAAAAAATGTGAGAGCCTAGAAAGACAGAATTCTGCACTAATAAGGAGTGACAGTGGCTTATGTTAGTTACGGCGTGTTAGGAGCACAAGTGTGCTAACACCCTTCAGCTCAGTAATCACCACTGAAAGCCTGAAGGCAGATTTTACAGAAAGTATCATCCCATTTATGCTGGCTTATTAAGAATTAACTCTGGGAGGAGAGCAATTAGATAGCTCTAATGCACTTTCTATGTGTTAAAAATGCTGCCAAATGTTTTTCTTTCTATGAAAGTGCTGTGGTTCATTTTAAAATTCATGACCCTTTTTCTCCAAAGAGCAATTAGACTGTGGTGAGCTGTAGAAATCATGGACCTGGTGTTATTTATTCCTGCCATCTCTCAGTAAGCAGCATTTGAGATCACTCAGAAGCCGTCCTACACCACTGACTTGGAGTAGCTGTTTCTAGAACCTTTGAGTTGGAGAAATAACCAAGCTTTCAGAAGATGTTGTGGCATTACTTTTGTTATATTGAACCCACATAGGTCTCAGATTTTCAGTTATACCATAAAGACCCTCTGCATGGGGAAGAAAAAAGGAAATGTCGCTTGGACCCTAGATTCAATAATTTTTTGATAATGTATTAGCTTATTTATTAGATTATTGAACTGATAATCCCAGTTCAGTTCAAAAAGCATTTATGGATCACCTACTGTGTCCCTAGCACTTACCAGGATGCACAGTTATATCAGAGCCTGTGCCCTAAAGTATTTAATGACCCTTAGGAATGCAAGCAAGCGACAGTTAAGCAGAAAATACAGCTGGCTTCTCTCCTGGAAGGAGACAGAAGGGGACAGTAAAGAAAGGAAAGTGGGAAGAAAGAGGTGATGGGGGAGGGAATCAAATTTAGTTGATTTTTTTTTTCCCTTTTCCTTGTAATGCCATAGAAAGTGACAGTGTAGGATTCTCACAACAGCGGTGACCACAGTCCTTTTGTTTATCTCCTAGGACATGCAGACAACACTCTTTACTCACATTCACTAAATTAACTCTTAGATACATTTGAACTAAAGATTTTCCTAATGGACCTGAAATCCAAAAATCCCACATGGAGAAGTGAGATGGTATGAACAGCGGGTAAAACCATCTTGCTCTAGCTCCTCATCATGTTGGGTGTGGGTCCACAGTTTAACACATAGTTACACCTCCTTTAATAGTTTGTAACTAATATTACAAGTACAATGCACTTGCTTCTTAGATAATGAACCAAAATGGAGTGTCGATAACTTGTCAGGATTAAAACGTGGGGCTCGGTCTCTGACTCCCTAAATCGTGCTTCTATGCTTCTGTGTGTGTAACTTCTAGCAGTTTATTTGTATAGGGCTGGCTGGGGAGGTATACATCATGTTTTTCTCACTCACTTTGAGCTTTGAGCTCTTCAACTGTCATGTTAGCACTATCAATGATGGCAGTATGCAAGAAAAATTCCTTGAAGTCGTGTCCTGTGGATAAATACTACATATAATGTTTTCTGGCTTTTGGTTTCTCCTGTCAGGATGGAGGTAGCCTTGTGGGAGAAGTAAATGAAGATGGGGAGATGACTGGAGAGAAGATAGCCTATGTGTACCCTGATGAGAGGACAGCCCTTTATGGAAAATTCATTGATGGAGAGATGATAGAGGGAAAACTGGCTACCCTTATGTCCACTGAAGAAGGAAGACCTCACTTTGAGCTGATGCCAGGAAGTAAGTCGGATCTGCTTCAGATGGGTTGCTCTAATTCCAAAGCAGGTTGTTAGGGCATATTTGAGAGAAATGAATTTCTTTGTCTAGACCACTTGAATCATGTATTAATCAGCCTTGCTGCATAACAGACACGTCAATACCTCACATACAGGTCAGCTGGCAAGCTGTACTCCAGCTGGTCTAGGCTGGGCTGGGCTGGGCTGGGCTGGGCTGGACATGGCTGGACTTGAGGCTTCTTATCTTACTACGCCTTATACGTCTTAATTTGGGGGCCCAGTCTGAAGGGACTTTGGTGACCTGGGTCAAGATTTTCCCAGGTGGGCCCCAGGAAGCCAGTGCATGAGTAGCCACCTGTGCTGCTTCTGAAAACTTAGCTTGAAATGGACACCATGTCACGTTCACCCACGTTTCACTGTACAAAGCAGGTCACACAGCCAAGCCAAGTATCAATGAGATGGGGAAATAGATGCCATGCGTTTCAGTAGCAGGTGCTAAAAAGTCAAGATAAAGGCATAGCTGTATAATTCTGAGACAGGGAAGAAGCGAAGAGATGATAGGAGGAATTTGGTGAATTTCAAAAGGTTAGATCTCAGAAAAAACTGAAATACAGCTTAATGATATTAAAGAATCAAATTAGGTAAATCTCTGGGTTGGTACAAATTGTAAAACTGATTCAGCCTGAGCTCTGATTGGGAAAGATAAATCCATGTTGGTATCCCCTGCCTCCTTCAGAGCCCAGTATCTCCATGGGGCACGTGGTGGGTATATTAGTGAGTCTGATGGAATCCGTATTAGAAAAAAATCCTATTTCCTTTTAGAAATACAGTATGGTATACTAAGCATTTTTTTCTGAGTATAAAATTATTTACTGTAGAATGTCTGGGGGGAAAAAAACAAGGAGAAAAACCAGGATTTTGTATTTTGGGTAGCATAACAAACAAAATCTGTTTAAATTGGTCTGATTCCTTGAAAGCAAGATATGCCTGTGTGTCTAATCTAAGTTAGGTTATACGGAGAAAAGAAGGAGAGAAGAGAATAAATCTATGCATTAATCATTCTAAATAATATTTAGCTCTTTGCGATCCGAAGGAGAATCTCCAGAGGAGAATGTCCAAAAATAGGAAATCTAGCATTTACACTTAGGTCCAACTTGGTTGTTTTAAATGTCTCGGGTTTTGTTTTTTTGAAGTTAAAAATTGAGGCAGCCTAAATGCAGTGAGGGATTTTGGATTGGATCCTGGAACGAAAAGAAGGCATTAGTGGAAAAACTGGTGAAATCTGAAAAAAGTATGAAGCTTAGTTAATAGTAACATAGCTATGTTGGTTTCTTAATTTGGACAAACATACCATGTAACTTAAGGAGTTACCATTACAAGAAACTGTGAGGAGTATTGGGGTGCCCTGTACTATCTTTTCAACTTCTCTATAAGTTTAAAAGCCTTCCAAAATGAAAAGATTTTTTTTTTTTAAGTGAAACAGTAATCTTCGCTCTTCAAATTCTACTCTCTGTGCTCTTCACATGAGTTCTGAACGGAGACAGTGCTACCGTGTTTAGAAATGAGGGGCTCTGGGCCAGGGGAGGGTCCCAATGGGTGATGCCCATTTTAAAACTTCAGAAGTGGTAGAGTGTTTTAGCAGCAAGAGCTGTGAACTTGAGAATCACCTGGTTTGTGTTTCAGTGTTAACATTTACCATAGTGTATGGTCTTGAGCAAGTTATATATCCCTTCAGAATCTGTTTCTTCATTATAAAACACAGCTATTGGCACCAAGTATACAACAGCATAAGAGAAGTTATTGTTCTCTTTGCATTCCTCTTGGTGTGAGTAAGCAACAGATTTTGGGAAGTGAGGGTGATAATCTCAGAGAGTTATATTCCTGAGAACTGGTCGTGGTGGGCTCACACTGGGTTTTCTTCTTGCCTCATCTCTTTACCTTCTCCACAAAGGAACTCCTTTCTCTGGTAATTCCTGTGCCATCCTAAGGCTTAGCTCGCCCCTTAGAATTAATGTCGGTCAAGGGAATGAATGGATTCTGGTCAAAGGGTGTGGTATAAATTACAGAGGAGAGGAGGAAAAGTAAAGGGTATGCTCCATTGGACCAGAGCATTGGCCAGTGGCAGAAAAACGGGAGGGGACAGGGTGTGTTGGAAAAGACAGCATCAGCCCCTTGAAAGCAGCCGGGGATGCCTTTCCCGTTTGCCTCTGCCCCATTCCTAATGTGGGGCTTTCCGTATAGCTGGCACATGGGACCTTTGTGATGACAGCTTTAGTCTAATGAAGGGAAGGGGGAGCTCAGAGATTTTCTGCACAATAGAACAAGTATTTCACAGAAAAGTTTCATTTAAAAATGTGGGTTGTTTCTTTTGTCAGCTGACTTCCTTTAACGGATTGTGCGTTGGTTCATTACCAGTTGGCCCCCACTGCGTTTCTCGGCCTTCTGCTGCCCTGCTTTTATGGCGGGGGGCTTCTGCCCCTTGCAGGCCACATTTCCTAGGCTCTTATGCGTTGGCTTCTATCTGGCTTTGGCCACAGGGAGGCACTGGCCAGGGACATGGAGAGGGAAAGCATCAGGGAGAAGCTGTCTCTGTGTCCAGCAGGGTCTCCAAGCAGGGGCCTGTCTCCTGATTCCATCTGCCACCGGGAAGGTTCTCCCCAACATCCCAGCTTCCTTGGCCAGGTATACCCCAGCTCTCCAGACCCAGACACACCACCTCCACTTTGTCCCTCCGGCTTAGGGTTACCCGGCTGACAGTTCCTGCCAGTTTCTGGGTCCCTCACTGGTCCCTTTGGCTTCTCAATTCCTCTGTGCTCCGTAGAACCAATTCCCTGAGTGAAATCTTCTCTTCAAAATATGCAAATGGTCTGTTTCCTAGCTAGACACTGACTGATCTGGATTGCTTTTTTTGTTTTGTTTTGTTTTAAGATTTTATTTATTTGTTTGACAGAGAGAGAGAGATCACAAGTAGGCACAGCAGCAGGCAGAGAGAGAGGGAGGAAAAGCAGGCTCCCCATTGAGCAGAGAGCCGGGTGCAGGGCTCAATCCCAGGACCCTGAGATCATGACCTGAGGCTTAACCCACTGAGCCACCCAGGCACCCCTGATCTGGCTCGCTTTTTTAACTTTTAGTTTGAGGCATTGATTTGGGTTTTGTGGTTGTACCAAACAAACAAACAAACAAACAAACAAACAAAAACCAGAAGGACCTGGTAACTGCAGAGGAGTTGCTTAATGGGATGATTCGTGATGTCTTAGTGCCTAAAAGGAGTAAACCTTCGGTTCTAAAATGGGTTTCTTAGGAGGGATTAGAGCACGGATGTCTTCATTGTGCTCTGGGAAGATTCTCGGAGGCTAATCCTTTGCAGAGAACCAGTGTTGATTCTAGAACAATTGTGGTCCTTAGTTTCTGGAATAAATTACTGATTGGCTTCTGAACTACCTTTATAGAAATAAGAAGACTTTGTTTTTGCCTTATCAAAAGCAGTTCTGTTCTTAATTCTGGGGAGGCGAATGTTTATTTTTAGTGAAGGGGACAATTGCCAGGGCTGGGTGGTTGGAGTCTACAGAAGGGTGTCTAGTAGGAAGAAAACCAAAGAAAACTCTAAAACCATCATCCAACCCTATCTGACCAGAGAGATCTCAAAATTTCATGACAAAGCAGGTTCTTGATTAAAAATTTTTAATTGCATAAGCACTTTGTAAACCATGTGAAGAAAGAAAATTTAAAGGCCAAAAATGGGATTTTAAGAGATACGTCTGAGGGCTGTTCATTAAGACCTAAAAATAAACTCAAACGCAAATCTAAAGACCGTGCGTTTATATTGAAGAGTTTATCCTAGTCAGTGTAACTTGAGTAACAGTTTTCGTTATTTAACTCCTGCTTTGAAAGCTCTTCCCTAACTTGGTAATCTCTAGATTGAGATTTTCACTTGCTTTTCAGGTTCGGTGTACCACTTTGACAAATCGACATCATCCTGCATTTCTACCCGTGCTCTTCTTCCAGATCCATATGAATCAGAGAGGTAACTTTTTTCCTTGTGGTTTGAACGGCATTGTTTACAGGAAGTTAAATAACCCTCGTGGTGGGAACCAACCCTCCTTTGTAGCCCTCTGAGTAGAAGAAAATATTCATAGAGTCCAAGGAAGAGTGTTTTTATGCTTGTATGGAATCCGTCCCTGTGAGAGAGTTTCTCCACCCAGAAAGCACAGAACGGCCGTGGGTCAGTCCCAGAGGAAACATCTACGTCTAGAGAGCCCTCTAGGCCCGATGTCCCCTTTCTTGGGGCCCTGGTACAGTTGATGCTACAGCCGCATGCTGGCCTCTAGGGGAGCATTTCAAACTCCTTAAACCTCTGACCTGGGCAGGAACCAGAATGCCTCCTTTGCTCAGCCCAGCCACAGGGGATCTCGAACGCTAGACAATTTCTTGATTTACGAAGGGAGAACACAAGTGAAGGAAAGACTATAAGAAACCTAACAAGCTTCCAGCTTACGAATGACGGGCTTCTGATTCGATAAGCTCACTCCCCAAGTGTCAAGTCCTGTTCCATTCCATCTTCTCTAAACTCCAGTTGGCAGCTGTGGGTGTGGCTTTCTCTAGTACTCGGCCCGAGATTCTTACCCCCAGCAACTGGCCTGTTCATGTGGTAGAGAGCCCTCAGCAGGTAGTTAGTTCTCTCTTTGCCTTGCTCTTCGTAAGCATGGCTTACAAAGCGTGACTTCCATTCGCTTCCTGTCCTGTTCCCATCCGAAAAGTGGGCCTCTTCCCTGGTCGAACTGACAGGGCTCACACCACAATGTCACAAAGAATGAATGGCCTCTTTCTTGATACAGAGCCCTGGTACATTTACAAAGGGAAAGGTTTGGTCTCTTGTTAGCCCCAAAACACAGTAGCGCGACCATCCTGTGTGTCAGTCCTTTTTGTTACTGTTGTTGTGATGAGACTGTGTAAGGACGCCCTTAAAACTCACAGTGGTTTATGAACGCGACATTTTATTTTATACTCATGGTTCTGTAGGTTAGCTGAGCTTCAGCTCCTTCCGACTGGGCTCGACTTGACTCCTCTTGGCACAGCTCAACAAGGCTAGACTCCAGATTTCAAGTTGGGTTCGGGTCTATTTCACACGTCTGTGTTCCAAGACTCCAGCTAAAGGAGCAACAGCCCCCTGGGGCATCCTCTGCCCTTGGAGATGAATAGAAACTCAAGGAAGCTGGCAGAAATTCACCATGCGTCTTACCACCCGAGTCCTGGCATGTAGTCCTCCTGCCCATGTTCAAGTAGCAAAGTAGATCCTACAGCCAAGGCCAGAGGGATCCAGGCAGGGGGTACATCATCTCCCCATTCCAAAGGAGCACCACAAGGTCATGCAGCAAAGTACCGGGACGTATGATTCTACCATAGGGAAGGAGGAAAGAGTCGAAAACAATAATGCAGTCCCCTGTAGTCCACAAGAGAAGCAGACAATCCGTGTAACACAAATTAGGGATGACCAGTTCCACCAAAGTGATTACAGCCCAGCGCCCAGAGAACTGACGTAGCTGTTGATGGGGCACACACGTACTCTCCTATTAAATGTGGTTCAGTAGTCACGAGCGCTGTCTTCCTGTGAATCCAGGGATTTGCAGACTCCTTCTGTACAGAGCCACACTTCCCATATTTGAGGCTTTGTGGGTCTCTATTACAACTGCTTGGCTCTGCTTCTGTCTCCCCAAAGCAACAATAGACAACACTAACTAAATAGGGGTGGCTGTGTTCCATGAAACTTCATTTACAAAAAGGCGCAGCTGCCAGATGTGGGTCTGGGGCCGTAGTTGCTAGACCCGTGATAAACTCTTCTGTTGGGAAGTGCTTATTGGATATGTTTTATTAATTGTCACTCTTTCATGTGAAAGATTCGTCTTGGGGCTAAGTTGAAACAGCCTTTCCCTCCTGTTTGGCATTGGCAAGCTTGGGTACAGCTTTAATTACTTTGGAAATGGTTTACTTATCCAGGAAGACAGTGAAAATACTCAGTCCCTAAAAATGTAAGTTAAAAAAAAAAAAAAACCTTATATCAAGCACTTTCTGAATACAGTGAGACCTTGAACAACACAGGGGTTGGGGCATGCCCCAACCCCTGCCCCCCCCCATGCAGTTGAAAATGCACGTGTAACTTTGGAGTCCCCAAAAACTTAGCTACTAAGAGCCTACTGTTGACTGGAGGCCTTGCCGATGACATAAACGGTTGAGTCGCACGTATTTTGTATGTGATACGTGTTACACACTGTATTCTTACTGTAAAGTCAGCGAGACAAAATAAAATGTTACTAAGAAAATCATAAGGGGGGAGGTGTGCCTGTCCAGCTCAGTCAGCAGAGCATGCAGCCCTTAATCTTGGGGTTGTGAGTTGGAACCCCATGTGGTGGAGAGATTACTTAAAAATAAAACCTTAAAAAAAAAAGTCATAAGGAAGAGACAAGACATTTTCAGTACTGTAAGTAATCTGCACGTAAGTGGCCTGCAGCTCATACCCATGTTGTTCAAGGGCCGGCTGTGTAGAATAATACCCATATTGGAGAGCAGATTTTAAACACCACTGTTAAAGATACAGGAGTACGAGTTCTTCAGTTTCCTGTGCCAAATACTGTGGTTTAACTTCTCATGCTCTCTCCCTTCCTTCCTCACTGGATTTCTGTGAACCGATGCTTCAGATTCATTAGTGGTACTGATATTTTGGTGGTTGATATAGTGACATATCAAACGAAAAGAACCATGATATGGCCCTTTTTTCTATTTAGGGTTTATGTTGCTGAATCGCTCATTTCCAGTGCTGGAGAAGGACTGTTTTCAAAGGTAGCGGTGGGACCTAACACTGTTATGTCTTTTTATAATGGAGTCCGGATTACACACCAAGAGGTGAGTGGGGTCAAAGTGGAGAATCAGCTTGATTGGTTACAGGGCTTGGTTTCAAACACCCTTAATTTTCCTGTTTAGCCCCTTTATTTTAGTATTCGCTAGAAGTATGAAGGAATACACAGTCTTTTTTTGTAAAATTGATGAGATATTGTCTATAGCAATTGTCTTTGCTATAGCAAAAATACCACACACTGGGGTGCCTGGGTGGCTCAGTCGGTTGAGCACCTACCTTCAGCTCAGGTCATGATCCCAGGGTCCCAGGATCGAGACCCATGTCAGGCTTCCTGCTGGAGGGCCAGGGGGAGTCTGCTTCTCCCTCTCCCTCTGCCTGCTGCTCCCCCTGTTTGTACTCTCTCGCTTTCTTTCTCTCTCAGTCCGCCTCTCTCTCAAATAAATAAATAAAATCTTTGTTTTTTTTAAATACCATACACTGGGTGGCTTGTAAACAACAGAAATTTATTCCTCACAGTTCTGGAGGCCGGACATCAAGATCAGTGTGTCTGCAGATGTGGTGTCTGGTCAGAAACCACTTCCTGGTTCATGAATGGCTCTCTCCTCACTGCAGCCTCATACGGCGGGAGGGACACGGGAACTCTCTGGGGTCTCTTTTAAGTTTCACAGCTATTTTCTAGAAAGTGGGACGGCGCCCATCAAGAAGACAGCAATTGCTTTGTACCGTACTACACCCAGGGTCTGAAAAATTGAGATCCAGTTGGATTCTGTCAGTAATTAATTTATGATCTTGCACAGAGGGCTTTATAAGAAGGCCCCCTACTTCTGTATTTGTGAAAGTCATACAGTAACCTATATCCAGGCAGGAAAGATTCTGTTGCCCAAAAAGCCAAAAATAAAAAGTTAATCACCTCTTGCTTTTAAAATACAATCTTTGATGTATTTTCCAGAATTCTGAGGTGTTTTTGTTTTTGCCTCTTCATGTCACAATGAACTTCCTTACATGTCCATTCAAGGGCAAAAAGTCGGCTGCTTGAGATGGCTTGTAGTCTCCTTCTGGTCCCACTTGCATTAAACAAATGGGACGTGGACTTATTGCTCATATCCCTCATTCATGTACTTCCCCTTTTCACTTATTGCTGTGGAATACTACGGGGGACATGCCGTGAAATAATCAAGTTTTTGCCCATTCACAGCCGTCGTACAGAGATGGTGAGGCCCTCAAACTGAGCCATGGTCTGGCACACAGTACAGTACCCCCTGGTGATGGCCAGACCTCTGTGTCTGCAGCACTGCTGGTCCAGGAAATGGGGTGAGCTCTTTGTCCGAGGTCACAAGTACAGGAACCAGCAGAGTGCAAGCCGGCTGTCAAATAGCAGAATCTGTCTCCCGGCGAGACTCACTATGCTGTGCCATGGACACGAATGGGGCCCCCTCCTTGCCTTCAAGAAATTTAGATCCTGTCAGGGAGGGGCGCCGGGGTAGTCCAGTCAGCTGGACTCTTGGTTTCAGCTTGGGTCCTGAGGTCAGGGTTGTGGGACACAGCCCTGCATCAGGCTCCATGCTCAATGGGGAGTCCGCTGGAGATTCTCCCTCCCTCTCCCTCTGCTCTTCCTCCCTCTCTCTCCAAAGTAATAAATAAATCTTTAGATTCTGTTGGGGAGATAAACATACGCAACTAATGGCGACATAAGGTAGATGGTGCCTGGGTGGCTCAGTGGGTTAAGCCTCTGCCTTCGGCTCAGGTCATGATCTCAGGGTCCTGGGATTGAGCCCCACATCGGGCTCTCTGCTCGGCGGGGAGCCTGCTTCCCTTCCTCTCTCTCTGCCTGCCTCTCTGCCTGCTTGTGATCTCTGTCTGTCAAATAAATAAATGAAATCTTAAAAAAAAAAGATACAAACAACAGCATAATTGTAATTTAGGGGTAAGAGAGGCAATACACCTGTGAGAGTCAACAGTTCTATATAAAAATGTGATCCCAGGGGCTCCTGGATGGCTCAGTCAGTTAAACCTCCGACTCTTGGTTTCAGCTCAGGTCATGATCTCAGGGTTGTAGGATTGAGCCCCACGTGGGGCTCCCTACTCAGCAGGGGTCTGCTTGTCCCTCTCCCTCTGCTGCTCCCCGGGCACTCTCTAAAATAATATTTTAAAAAATGTTTAACATAATCCTATTTGCTCCAAAAAAAACCCTGCTGTGCTGACATCAGCAGATGCTGGGGTATGGGTTGGAGTGGGGCAGTGGTTTGGAGAAGGGAATCTGTTGGTGCCTGCAGAGAGTGAGTGCTGTTGTAGATGAGCATGCACACTGGGAGCAGGGGACACTGTCCCCATGGATCTCCCACTTGTAACAAAGGTGAGGGACTCTGCTTGAAGCACAGTTTTGCATTCCTCATGGTTCCGGTTCCAAATGATATTCTTCCTTGTGTGTTTCCTTTGCCTGGTCTTCTTCACAGTAGGGCTTCCAGGGACCTGGGGTTGGTCAGAGCCCCAGATCCCACCACAGGAGGCAGTCACACATAGCAGGGCCAGGCTTGGACAGGGAGGCGAGAGAGGGGAGGCCCTCCCAGCCTGAGATGGTCCAGCGGCTTGTGGCCCAGGGGCCACCGTCCGGAGCAGAAGAGGGGCAAAGGACTCCCAGGGAAGAGCAGGCTGGAGAGGGGGCTGACGTGTCTAGGTGACGTAGGGTGAGGAGTCTCTAGGCCACAGAGCTCCGAAGGACGAGACAGTCTGGGGGCTTTGTGGTGCTGGGCTGGGTCTAATCTACTAGCAGACATGGGGTCACATGTCCCAGCGGGAGTCCCAACAAAGTGGCTAAAACTCCGCTTTGTTTGGGCTATTGAAGAAACAACTGGATGTGTAAAAACTTGGGTTTGGTGCTGGAGGGCTTTGGAGGTAATTGGTCGTATCCTGCAGTGAAGAAAAAAACCGCCTAGGGACATCTGGTTATATTTTTGCGTGTCTTTGTCAGGGACTTTTTAGGTCCTTTTTTTCACCTAAGAGGGGAAAGGTAAGTAGGGAGTAAGTTGAGCTGCCCGCAGAGGGTTCTCGCACCATCAATGGGGAGGGGCGCCTTGGGTTCTTCTCACGCAAAACACCGCACAAGGTAAGGGGGAATGAGTGAATGTTGCTGATGTGCTCTGAGATTGGGGGAGAAAGGCCCTCTCTAACGTTCGCTTTCTTGTTTCCTGCAGGTGGACAGCAGGGACTGGGCCCTTAATGGGAATACCCTCTCCCTGGATGAAGAAACGGTCATTGATGTGCCTGAGCCCTACAACCACGTGTCCAAGTACTGTGCCTCCTTGGGACACAAGGCCAATCACTCCTTCACTCCAAACTGCATCTATGATATGTGAGTATGACAGCGAGTGCCAGGGTGGGTCCGGGCCCCAACATCAGGGGCCCTGCAACCGGGCGGGGGTGTGTCACCGGGAAGGCCACTCCCTCAGGGTTCCTGAGGCTCCTCCCCCAGAGGCCTGGAGGTTAGGACTTTACACTCAGAATTTAAACAACCCCTTCCCTGGCCTTGGTAGGCTCGTAGATGGCAAAGCGCTTGGAAGGGTAGAAATGCTCTGGAAACCACACTTCCTGGCTGCTGTTCGTGGATGCTTTTTTGTCCTTAGGTGGTTTCACTCTGGAAAATTAAAGATAGTGTTATTTGAAAGATTAGAAACATTAAAATTATTCTGCACTGTGGAGACTCAGGAACTTTTTGATGTTTGTGAAAAGAAGGAAGAAAAGAAAATGCTAAGCCTAGAGCACAAGTTCTTGGTGTTGGAAAAGACTGATTAAATCAGAGTCCCCATGACTTGACAATAAAGAGGAAAAAAATACTGTGGGATGTTACAGTGTGGATGGGCCTTGCACTGTACTAAGTGTGAGAAGCCAGTCACGTAAGACCCCATAGTGTGTGAGTCTAGTGAGATGACTTGGCTGTTACAGCGAAATTCTTAGAGACAGAATACAGATCAGTGGTTGCCCTGGGCTGGGGATGGGGAAGTGGAGGGAAATGGAGCTGATGGCTAATGAGCATGGGGTTTCTTTTGAGGGTAGCGCAGTGTACTAAAATTACATAATGTGATGGTTGTCCACCTGAAACCCCCTGAATTGTATGCTTCAGGTGGGTGAATTTTAGGGTATACATTTGTTGAGTTGCATCTCAACAAAGCTGTCTTTCGAAGACTTTTATTTATTTATTTATTTTTAAGATTTTTAAGATTTTAAGATTTTTATTTTTAAGGCAAAGATCATAAATAGGCAGAGAGGCAGAGAGAGAGAGAGAAGGAAGCAGGCTCCCCGCGGAGCAGAGAGCCCGATGCGGGGCTCGATCCCAGAACCCTGGGATCATGACCTGAGCCGAAGGCAGAGGCTTTAACCCACTGAGCCACCCAGGCGCCCCTTTCAAAGACTTTTAAAAAGTCAAATAGTCCTACCTCTCAGAATTTGAGCCTCCCCTTCCAGCGGCTCGCTGACCTCTTCTTGTAGACCTCCACTGATGAGGAGGTTACTGTTATCCACGAAGGGAGCTATCTAGACAGACTGACATAGATATTATGAAATTAGCTCTCAGGCTCTGATGATTAAAATGTTCTTTTTAGGAAGCCCAAATAGGTTTCCCTGTGACATCCAGCCCTTTGCCCTAAATATCTCCCTATGCACTATCCCAGTCTCTCTTCGACATAGTAGCCCTACAAATATTTCAGGAGCTTTCCTATGTCCCCTGAATGTTCTCCTTCCAAAGTCAAGCGTCTCTGACTATTCCTTGAAGAGTACAGTTGGCATTCCTTGGACCATCGTCATTGATCCCCTTATCTTGGCCAGAAAATGCCTGTTCCCCTTGGGAGCCAGGTGGCTGTGTTGCCACCTTTTCTGCTCAGTTATAGCTCGCAGTCCCCTCCCCCCAGCGTCTCTTGCTTGTTAACAGGAGCAGGATCCAATCATGTGCGTTTAATCTGTAGGATAATTGCCAGGATTTGAATGTCCCTCCTCGCATCCCTGAGATGGCTTGGAAATGGTCCTGGCAGTGCCTTGCTCTCCTTGGCAGCCGGCACCGAGTACGGCAGCTCCGACTTCTGTGAAAAGGGCAGGTAGAGATGGCAAAGGACATGTGTCATGTGAAATGAAACTGACACTGTTATTAAATCCAAGGCTTTTATGCCCAGTGTGAATTAGGCCAAAGCACCGTTCCAGGCTTGCACACAGCTTCCCAATGGCCTTTTAAAGCGGTGGTAACTAACAGTAACACATGCTACTTAAAAACTACTCTCTTAAAACAAACGCGTTCTGTGATTTTGCTGCAAGGACATGGTTTTTCTCACCAAAAAGGAGGATGCGCGGGAGACAAGGAAGGGAACCAGTTGTGCAAAATCAGGTCCCCAGGCTCCTCGGGGTTACTTCCTTCCAGCCCAGTGTGAACAATTAGTTATATGGGGTAGTGAGAAGACTCCCTGAAAAGCAAAATATAAAAATCAGGTACTGATGCATGACATTCATTTGCTTCTCGAATTACTGGTATTGTTCTGCATGCTTTAACATCGGCAAAACAATATCCCGGTATAAGCAGTAGTCTGCTAAAAAATCCAATGGACAAGCAGACACAAACTACTGCCCTCATCGTCCATAGCGGTGATATGTCACCAAGGGCCCAAAGTACTGGGGGGCAGAAGTTTGCTTTGACCGCTTATCGTGCTGCTGGCATGGACTGGGACTTTTAGGCCTGTGTCCGGCTAACGGCTTCTCCTGAGTTCTCTCACTCAGGCCTCCCAGGATCTCCGCGGGGCAGCCTCTGGTCCTTTCTCCCTGCCCCCCATCACAGACCGGAACCTCGGAGCTCCCAGCCACAGCGACTAAGTGTCCCTAAGCGCTGTGCCCCCGTGCCACCTGGGAGAATCGGCACCTGAAATGGAGTGCCTTCTTTTCAGTCTGTCCTTTTTCTATCCTCTGAAAATGATAGTAAGCGGAAAAATGAAAGTAAAAGAGGATTATACCAGAAGTCTTGGGCTTCTCATGGAATTCTGTCAGTGTGCAAGAAGTTTAGCTGGAGCACCGCTTCAAGGATATTATTTTTTAAAGCAATATTTTAATTTAGAGACAGAGTTGTGATTGTATTTTTTTTAAAGAGTTTATTTATTATTTATTTGAGAGACAGAGATCCCAAGTAGGCAGAGAGGCAGGCAGAGAGAGAGGAGGAAGCAGGCTCCTGCTGAGCAGAGAGCCTGATGTGGGGCTCCATCCCAGGACCCTGAGATCATGACCTGAGCCGAAGGCAGAGGCTTAACCCACTGAGCCACCCAGGTGCCCCATGATTGTATTATTTTTTTAAAGATATATTTATTGGAAAGAGAGCACAAGCTGGGAAAGACGGAGAGACAAGCAGTCCCTCCGCTGTGCAGGGAGCCCCACATGGGGCTCGATCCCAGGCCCCCGAGATCTCATGACTTGAGCCAAAACCAAGAGCCAGATGCCCAACCAACTGAGCCACCCGGGTGCCCCAAGTTTTAATAAGGACTTCCCGGATCCCTGGTGTAGGGGTGTCTGTGATGGTGCACAGTATGAGAATTCTGCGCCTGTGCACACACACACACAGACGTGCTCACCCGTCACTGGCAGCAGCTCAGCCCTCACTTTGTGCCCAGCCCCTGTGAGGTGCTTCGTATAGGGGACCCTGTTTTGTCACCCTGACAACTCTTACACCATTAGGATTGCTAGTATTAGTGAATCCGTAGATGAGGAAGGTGAGAGTCAGAGATACAGAAGTGGGCTTTCTGAGAGGGGGCAGGAATAATGTGCGGAACCCGGACTCAGGCCAAAGTCTCTGACCCCAGATCAAGTGTGCTTTCCAGGAAAGATGACACCCAAGGTGGGTGGACATGGAGGCCCCTTGGAGTAGGGGGTGAGCTTGTTCCTTTGTCCTCCACATAGAAGGTGTTCCTAAACCGCAGGCACACTTTTTCCCCACCACCCATAGAGGGAACCAGCCAGGTACTTCCTGTCATGCCCTATGTGCCGATCTCACTTAGGGCCTGGAAGCTTCTTCCTGTGGCATCTCAATATCCTTTGCTCAAAATGTGACTATAAATGAATGAGATTGATTTGACCAGATGCATATAAAGATAAAGTGAATTTCTTTTCTGGCCATGACTTATGTATTTCCCTTCTGGGTTTCAGAAGCTGTTAGGTGAGCTAAATCTATTCCTTACCTGTGTCCTCATCTCCTAAAGGGGCTGGAGGGGTGAACCAGGTTGGGAGCCTCTGGCACAGGAACACAGTCAAGAGCGTTAGCCCTATCTCGGGTTCCTAGACGCTTGAAGCTGCTCCCTTCACAAGATGCTTCATGGGGAAATAGTTAGAAAGCAGGTTGGCAGAGAGGTCTAGGCTTCGCTCCTGGAAAGAAGTCTTCATCTACTTTGGTGCTAGAAAATAATACTTCCTCTGTCTGTACAAGGTGGAATCCAGTTTTTTGCCATAGGAAAGCCCACGGGGCCCTTCCTTACACCTCGCACAGTGCCCAAGTGAAGCCTTGTCCCCAAGGCGCCGCCAGTAACCTGAGGCCACCACTGGCCAGGGGGACCGAAACGCCTCCTGGCCGGGCTACATCCAATTTCTCATTAAGTCCAGGTTTTTTGTTGTTGCCCATGTTGTTGGTTTATAAATAGAGTGCCAGATATGCTCAAAGAGGAAGACGGAGCCGTGCTTTTTAAACTTGAATGTGCGTGTGAATCACCTGGGGGAGTTGTTAAAATGCAGACACTGAGTCAGCAGGTCTAGCAGCGTGTCTAGCAGCAGGAAGGTGAAGCTGCTGCTGGCCACACTTGAGAACCTACCCGGGGTGGCCAGGGGAGAGCTCCTGGGCGATTCCTGCCCCCTCACCACCCCACCCCCCCGCAGGCTTTGCTTCTAAGCTCCCGATCCGCCCCAGGAATGACCGTGTGCATCTTGATGTCCAGGTTTGTCCACCCCCGTTTCGGGCCCATCAAATGCATCCGCACGCTCCGAGCCGTGGAGGCCGAGGAGGAGCTCACGGTGGCCTACGGCTACGACCACAGCCCCCCGGGGAAGAGCGGGCCTGAAGCCCCGGAGTGGTACCAGGTAGAGCTGAAGGCCTTCCAGGCCGCCCAGCAGAAGTGAAAGGCTCATCCCTGAGCTTCCGAGACCTGGAATAGAAACTTGGATCTATGCACTACGTTTTCCGACAATGGGACAACCAGGGACTGCTCATGCTGTGACATCACATCCTCTCACTCTGCATTAGCAACGACTTTCTCGCATACTAACTAGGTTTGACTGTATTACTCATACCAGATTTAAAATTAGCTAGCCTTTTAACAACGTCCTACTGAGAGGTATTGTCGCACACTTGACACAGACAGCGTGATGCTCTTGGGTGGTTCAAGCCTAAATCTGTACCACACTCAGAGATGCCAAATGATTAGACTGAAAAAGGGAAAGGGGGCTTTTCAGTCATTCGTAGTCTGTGGTTTTTCCATGAGGTTTTTTCCTATGACCAACATAAAGTGTATGTTCGCACTTGCATACGGGCCGTAGGGAGGATAGAGAATTACTACATTTTTATTCTCTAAATGTAGTATAATTTGCCTTTTAACCTTTGATCTGTATCTTGCAATAGAATGGCTTTGGTTTTTTTTTCCCCCCTAGCGAACAGAATCCCACTTTTTTGAGTCATTTCACCCATCAGTCCCATTCTCTATCTTAGATATCTTTTACGAGAGAAAAAACTTCCAAATGGATTTCGTGTCAGTGCCAGTGCGTAGGTCTCTCTGGTTCTTCCTATATCATTGTTTCATTATCATGTCCTAATATAAAGAACTGGCTCATAGGGCCAGGGTATTATTCTAGAACTATTATTCTCGCATGTAAACAAAGATACCTTTGCTTTAAAATGTGAGAAGAAATGAATTTACTTCGTTCGCATTAAGTTATGGGAGAGCTGTAATATATACTTTAAGAAAGGAGAGAGGGAAATTAGTATTTCTAAGCAGTAACTGTGGCAATTTTGCAATCTCTTCAATAGTGCTAGTAATTTCTTCTCCTCGGGTACACATTAAATGTACATAACATAGAGCAGTCCGGCTTGTGGTGCAGTGCATTGAATTCAAAAGTCAAACAACCACCTAGAATTCTAATGTGGAATTCTAAAGCTGAGGTGTTTTTTTTTTAATTGCTACTGTTAGGAGAGACATACCGATCACTAGGTGCAAATCAAACCTTAATGCTACAACTCTTCATTGTTGTATTTTCAAAGCACTTACCTGCTTCAAAGCATTGTGAGTTAAGAGTAACACCTGTATAGTTTCAAAGCAATGATATCAATAGCATTTCAGCCATTTTGCAAGCCACATGTAATCACAACTGCAGAAATAAGGCAAGAACCCCTGTTTTTTAGTTTAGCTGGTTAGGTGTATAATGGACCCGGGACGGCTCTGAGTGAATTCTGCGAGTTTGGGGCTTTCGTTAGTGCCCTCACCCCCAGGCCATAGCTGTGCCGTCTTCGAGGGCCTCGACAAGGCTGCCGGAAGTGGTGGAGAGCGGCCACTGCCAGCGGCGGCACCTGTTGCCTGAGCCAGTCTGGGCTTGAAAGCTAAAGGCTTCCAAGCCACAGCCGATGGGGAGCTCTGGCCGAGCAGAGGTCGCTGGCTGGCAGCGAGAAGAGTAAAGAAACGGGCAGGAAGGAAGTTTTTGCTGTTTCTTGGCCGGTATGCATTGCTCTTAGAAAGAATTCAACAAAAGTGCTTGACCCAGGGCTGCTCACAGTTCTCCGTTCAGGCGGCCCCTGAGCACGGGATTCAGCCCTCGAAGACAGTGACAGAAGGGGCCCTTCCGTCCTCTGCAGGGCCAGGCTTCCTGGAGCTCCCCTCCTCCCCTGGTGGTGCCAGTGCACGTGGCCAGTGCAGGGTGTACGGCTAGCCAGCAGTGGTCTCCAGGGGGTGGGGTGGGGGTAAGCTGATGTTCCCCACATGAGAAGTTGTCAGGGCTGCCAGAAGGATCTCCCGCAAGGGGAACCCGAGTAGGGTTTTTAGATGATAACGCCCCAGGATAGGATAGCTTCTATTCTGTAGAAAGAGACCGTTCTGCAAACTGTGACCGATGGGCAGTCTCGGGACTTGTGTTCTGATGGGTGCTTTAATTCAAATGCGTCCCAAAGTGAGCGACTGTCTTCAGGAGAAAGATGGCTTGAAGTGGCCCCGGGCTTTTGGGTGTCGGAGCCAGGTCAGCGAGCAAGGTCAGGATGGAGCCGGCCACACTTCCAACACAGTTTCGCTTTGAAGGATTTCATTCCTGGTGGTGATACCATTCTTGTTGAGGCTACAGGACGGGTATAATTTCTGTCCTCATGGGTTACTCTGATTATTCCCCACTCAAATGGAATCTTTCTTTTTTCCTTTCTTTCTTTTGATCTAAGGGATTGAAGAGTCGTAAGTAGTAATTAACCATCGAATCCATTTTTCAAATTAGGTATTGAATGACAGCACTGGGGTTAAAACCCAGCAGTGTGTCTGTGACCTTCAGACAAATCAGAGGAAACACCACACCCACGCTGAGCCTGTCTGTCTGTCTCCCTCCTCTCTTCCTGCATCTTCTGGGCCTTCTCTCTCCTGTTCCAGCTCTTTCCATCCTGTCTCTCGTCTGTGGGAATGCCTGGATGTCCCTGTCCCGCTGATCTCTTGCTCTTTTCCATCCTCTCCCTCCCCATTCTGAGTGTCTCTCCTCTCCTGCTAGGCCCTCTGTGTGTACATCTGTGCCTTCACTCCTTGTCTCTGCCTAGCTTTGTGGCTCCTGCTCCCGTCCCCGCCCCTCCCCCACTCCCAAATGGAAGACTGTCACAGAGTAGAATCCCGAGGGGGCCTTGACATTCACTGTGTTCCACAGGTAGGTGAAGAAGTCGAGATGGGGTGAGGTCCCATAAGGAATTTACTGGTGAGGAAGGAAGGGTTTCTCCTTGTTTTATTTCTCTACCGAATCTTTGCATCCACCGTGGAAGGAAACGTGTCAGGAAGCAGCCGAATCTGGCAGTTTTATGGGCGCGATGATCACAGCAGAACTGCGGAAGATTCCATGTGGTGGGGAATAAAGAAGTAACCTCACGCTCTCCCAAAACACGCCTGGCCCCTGCGCGTGACGCCATGGTCTCGAGGAGGTTCACTCAGAGCTGTCTCATCCCCACCCCCTGCATGACTAGATCTTTCCTTAGCAGCTTCTCTGTGACAAAATATCCTCTTGTGTTAGAGTTAGGAATAGGAACTAATCTGTAGGAGTATGTCCCCACGTGGACATTTGGACGGCCTGACAGAATCGCTGTGAGGACTGAATTTCTGACCCAAAGCAAAGAGGAGATGAAGAGGCAACAGGCAGGGAAGACTTGAGTTCCGTAGTACCTATTCTTGTTTTATCCTGCTTCATCCCTGGTCTGCCTGAGAAACGAAGAAGGAAATTCGCTTTTCGAGACCTCTTTGAACCTGTCTGGGGCATATGGTTAAATGTATTTGCCTCCCAGGGGTTCGTCCCACTTGAAAAAGGATTTCCTTATCACCAACAGCCTGGAGAGGCCGACATGGAGGCAAGTGTCTTCACTGACAGCGTTAATTGTAACCATTAAGATGGCAGTAACTGTGAACAGTGAATTCAAGGGTTGCCTTCTCAGTGAGACGGTATGTGGCACTTTAGAAACTTTCCTTTAATATATAAAATTTTAAATGACTCACTGCAAAGTGCATTTAAGATCTTCCAAGAAGGTAGAGTTTTCTGTTTTGCCTTGTTTTAAAAACCGTTGCCTCAAGTTTCTGTCCTAAGAATAGTGATTTAGAATCCAGACATCTTTTCTTTAAGAAAAACAAGCAAAACTATGTTGCAAGACTGATAGGTGTAATGTTTATTTGCCGCAGATCAAAGGTTCACAAAATACTTTAAATTTACATCTACTTGAGGTACCTTGATAGATGGTTTTTTTTTTTTTTTCTTTGCTCTTTCCCTTCAGGAATTTGGAGCCTTGGTGTCACTTTTTTATTTAAAAAAAAAAAACAAAAAACAAAACTAAATTGTGATAGTTTTATTTTGCCAAATGTGTGCATACATATTCAAAGCAATGAAACTATTTCAAGCCATACAACCACAGGGGTGGAAAGAAACCCTTTTCACAAATTTTAATGTGTTTGTATGTAAATAGATGTTTGTATGAAATATTTTCATGGTAGAATGAATATATTTAAATGAAGTCGAATTATTCCAGTGCTATTTAAACAAATTACAAAATTTTTGGTGAGAATCCTCAGAGTCTGTCGAGATACAATGCAGATCAATTTTGATTTTTAAAAAATCAAAAGCCTACAAATAACTCTGACTCACGGCAACTTCCCTGTGTGGTTGCGTCTGACATGGAGAGAGCTCGTAGGCTTCCCCAGTGCCTCAGCCGCTTCCTGGTGAAAGTTAGGTGCTCATGGAGGTGTGTCTACCTTTAAGTGACGTCACTCCTGGCCTCCGAGGGCCTGCGAGTGAATTAGAGGCATTAGAGACACTGGTGCAGTTATCCAGAGCACAATTTCTTTGCAGGGCAGCAGAATCCGAAGCCAGATATGGCCACGTGAACCTCGGAGCTGGGTTTTCTGGCCACCATCAACCGCCACCCTTACTGCCTAGTCACACGTGTCAGGGAGGCTGCCCTCAGTGGAGTTGGGGTTCCAGCCCCAGGGTGGAACTTCACGGTTTTGCCAGCCATCCCCGCCTCCTGGCCTCCACCTCACAGAGAGGAAGGAGGAGGGAACAGCTGGCAAGGGGCCCATTTCTCAGCACAGTACATTTCCTGTCTCGGCTCTGGGAGACTATGCACCCAAGCACCAAACTTCCATCCAGAGAGAGACGTCCTCGGATAATGCAAATCCTTGCTTCCTCTGTCTGTGACTTTACACACTGTTGTTAGAAGTCGTTTTAATATCAAGACCAATCACATCTCTGGGACATACCTTCCAACTCTCCTGACTCTTACGTTACTAGAACACTCCTTTATAATGGTATTCAACTTGAGTGGGTTGTTTTTGTGGTTTTTTTTCCCCTCTGCTTTGGTCCTGGATATACGAAATGATAAATATGACAAAATTTTCACTGTGTCTACTAGCAATATGTACACACATGCCAATGTATCTTATCATAGCGACTTGGTTATATTTTGGGTTACTGTAATTAACCTTGATTCTTGTGTTGGGAAACCACAGGGATGTGTGATGCCTGCTTATCATGGAAGAAGTTAGGTTCATGGTCTGAGCTCCCTCCTTCAAAAGTTTTCCTCCTGGGTCTTCTATGTTCTCTTTTATCCTAAAACGTGTTTATTAGGTTGTGAGGTATGTTTAAGGATTGGAACCTAGGGGTATGCTTTCATCATTTATTGAGAGCAAAAGTTAACCCCATCACAGTTAACAAAAGATTGGTCTTTGTGGAATTTGAACTAAATCTATGAGCCTTATTCAAATATCTATAATTCTATGATTTTTTTAAATTATGGGAAATTAATGAAAGATGTTTACATGAATAATGTTTGCCCTTACTGTGTTATGAATGAGTTTTTTTGTAGTGTGTCTGGGTGCATGTGCAAGAGAGTAGGAAAAATGTTTCTGAAACAAAACTTGACAAATATTTGTAATGAAAAGTAAATTTAAAGATTGCTATAATTGCGCTATAGAAACAATGCAAGTATTAAACAAAATATACAATCATCTCTCATTGTCTTCCTTTGGTCATTGAGGGCAGAAAGACGGTAACTTTCTTCTTTTTCTTTTTCTTTTTTTTTTTATATATTTTTAAAAAGATTTATTTATTTATTTATTTATTTGAGAGAGACAGGGAGCAAGAGCAGGGGTGGGGGGAGGTAGGGGGAGAATCAGACTCCTGGCTGAGAGGGGAACCTAACTTGGGGCTCCATCCCAGAACCCTGAGATCATGACCTGAGCCGAAGATGGGCACTTAACCACCTAGGAACCCCATTATGACATGCCTACCTATGTGTTTAAATTACTAAGCCAACTTTACATTTTGAGTTGTTTTAAAATGTTATCAGCCATTTACCATTTTCAAAGCACAAGAAGAGAGAAGAGAGGAGGGGTGTGGAATGGCTAGGAGGTTTATTTATTTAGCCTGACTTCACATACACCTACGAATCCAGAAGAATCCTCAACATCAACCCAAAGTCTAGTTAATTACATTAATGTTAAGGGCATTAAATATAGATGAAATGATTGGGAAATAGCTGAAGGACGGGATGCCTCAGTGCACGGTTTAAGGAAGATAATAGGAATTTTATTAGATGTGGTAGACTTGGGCCCTCTTAGGACAGCTTTGAGCTCAGGAAACCAGGAATCCTTTGTTCCTCCCCAAATCACAGCTCACATTCCCGAACTCACTACTACGACACTCTAAAGAACAAAAGCCAATGACGCACACATAAAAATAGTGCTTTGTATCAGCAGTCCCTTGTGCCCAGGGACCCAAAACTGTGGTTTCTGGTAAGTGGGGCATTACTAAGGGAGACGCAGTTAGGCATCAAACCAAAGTAGGCTGTGAGACCTCCGGCCTTATCTTCCCTCCCTCCGTTGACCACTCTTTGATTTGCTGATACTTCCTTCCACCCAAGGAAGGAAAGGGAAGCAGGTAAGACAACTAAATCCAAACTCACGCTGGTCAGCTTCATCACTCGGACAGGGACACATCGTGTCTGGATCTTTAAGACAGAGTTTCACCCACTGACCCACAATATTAGTATTCTTCCTCCTTGCGGAAGAAACGGGGATGAGATTAAAATTCTAATGCAAATTGGGTAAGTCTGAGAAGCTAAAATCTCAAAAGTGAAGGATCAGGCAACTTTCTGGGTATTAAACTTGGTGTGGAGTCAAGGGTGGTAGAATAAGGTAAGGGGAGGAAGACGGAGACCAAAGTATTTTAGTCTTGGTGGTCGTCCCACATATACTTCTCACTAAATGTCTGCCTTGAGGTTTTAATGTTCCAGATTATTCTGCCTGCTGGTTCATATAACACTTGAAATTACTAAAGTGGCCATATCCAGAATTAGGTAAGTCATTCAGAAGGATTTTGTGCTATGCTCAACATGTATTCTTTTTTAAAAAATTTATTTATTTGAGAGAGAGACAGCAAGAGAGCACCAGCAGGGGAGCAGCAGAATGAGAGGGAGAAGCAGGCTCCCCACTGAGCAGGGAGCCTGATGATGTGGAGTGGGGCTCCATCCCAGGACCCTGGGATCATGACCTGAGCGGAAGGCAGATGGCTAACTGACTGAGCCACCCAGACACCCCTGTGCTCAACATTTCACTTCAGCTCAGCATCTGACTGATTTGGGTGGTTCAATAAAAAAGTTTTGCCCCAAAACGATTTTAGAAAACTACTGCCTTTTTTTTTTTTTTTAAGATTTTATTTATCTATTTGACAGAGAGAGATCACAAGTAGACAGAGAGGCAGGCAGAGAGAGAGAGAGAGAGAGAGAGGGAAGCAGGCTCCCTGCCGAGCAGAGAGCCCGATGCGGGACTCGATCCCAGGACCCCGAGATCATGACCCGAGCTGAAGGCAGCGGCTCAACCCACTGAGCCACCCAGGTGCCCCAAAACTACTGCCTTTTATGTAAAAACATAATGCTAATTCTACAACAGTATAATGGTATATGTTTTTCTTAAAATTTGGTTTCTTTGTGAAAACCAGAAGCCATGGTTTTGAAATTAGAGCTTCGCTTCTTATAGTATACATAGAAAAAGATGAATGGATTTATCTAGCTTGCTACTAAATTTTTACTTCAAGTATCAGAATGCTTCCAGCTTCAAGACACATAAAAACCCAACTCAGTATTTGCTTAAGCGATAAAGGAGACTTATTACCTCACGTAATAAGACCCTCACATAATGAGATGCTGTTGGGTGACCCTGGAGGTGTTAATTCAGCAGCTCAGCCAGTCATTTCTATCTTTCCACCCTGTAATTCTCAGCTTGTCAGACATACCTTCAGGGGCCCACCCACCTCACAGTCACAGCATGGCTGTTGCAGTTCCAGACATCACAGCCAGCATCTGGTGGGTGAAAAGGAAAGTCTCTTCTCTCTACCACTGAGATAACCTAAACAAATCACTTGCAAGGGCCATGGGGATGCCATGATTATCTGAGGGAAGCATAGGGCTGTGTAGAGAGGAGTGGGTGCCCCAAACAAAGATGGGGTTTCCCAGCAAGAAAGAAAGGAGAAATGACATTTGGGCTGTCCACCCACAGTATCTGCCTCATCTGCAACACAGGTTTTGTTTATTTTCTTTGGAGAAGAAAGGAGGTTAGTCTCTAAGTAAATAAATGAATTTTTAATTCACATGAATTTAGAGTATTCTCAAGTGGTGGGTATGGGAAAAGTTCTATAGAGATACATTCATGTAGAGTTTATAAGGCAGTTTTAAATGTTCAGATGATTTCTTAACAGCCATATGATATGAGTACTGCTATTAATCCGTTTTACAGAAGGGAAAACTGAGGCACAGAGATGTTAAGTAACTTGGAATTAAGTAGTAGTCATGGAAGTAGTAGAGGCAGAGTATAGGCTGGGCTCTAGGCTGTTCTCTTAACCACGACGGTGGGAGCGCCTCTCTCCTCCTGCCCTTCGCATGCTAAGGCCATCGTTAACATCCTTAATCTTCCTTTCCCTTGATCATTTGCTTAGCCAACCAATCAACTGATCTCACAGATTGTGGTCCCTCCTTAAGCCAATCCATGGGACACCCAGACCAGCTGCCACCAAATTCTCACCAAATTCTGCCCGGATCCAGAGCTCCCACCCTCCTCTGTCTGGATCTCATTTCCCAGTCCTCACCCCCACCACATGAAGCTCCCTCAGTGACGGGGCTTCACCGTTCCTGTGAATCCTTGGTGGCCCTGGGACGGCCATGTGCTGGAGAGGAGCTGGACTCTACAGGCAGACTGGTTTTTTGCTTCACATTTTTGTTTTTTCCTATTCTTCCCATCCCCTACCCTCTCCTTTCTGGCAACCACCAGTTTGTTCTCTGTAGTTATGAATTTGTTTCTGTTTTGTTTTTTGGGTGTGGGTGTGTTTAGATTCTGTACATAAGTGGAATGAAATGGTATTTGTCTTTCTCTGACTTATTTCACCTCACACGATAGGCCCTCGGTCCATCCCTGCTGTCCCGAGCAACAGGATTCCGTTCTTCTTGATGGCTGAGTAGCGTCCCACAGTGTCTACACACCACCTCTTCTTTATCCATTCTACAATCTGTAAACCCTAAGGTTGTTTCCATATCTTGGCTATGGGAAATAATGCTGGAATGAACAGAGGGGCGCATGTGTCTTTTCAAGTTAGTGTTTTGGTTTTCTGCAGATACATACTCAGAAGTAGAATTGCTAGATCACTTGGTATTTCTAGCGTTAATTGTTGGAGGAATGTCTAAACTCTATTCCATAATGGCTGCACCAATGTATACTCCCACCGTGCTTGAGGGTTTTCTTTTTCTCCCCATCTTTGCCAATAGTTATTTTTTTTTTCTCATCTCTTTGATCCTAGCCCTCCTGATAGGTGCAAGGTGATGGCTCAGTGTGGTTTTATTTGCATTTCCACGATGCTTAGTGATGTTGAGCATTGTCTCATGTGTCTGTTGGCCATGTGGATGTCTTCTTTGGAAAAATGTCTATTTAAGTCCTCTGCCCATTTTTTAATCAGATTGTTTGCTTTTGAGTCAGCCTGGCTTTAATCAGCTTTGCCACTGTCTACGTGACGTCAGGCTTTAGGTTGCGCTCCAGCAAATGGGGATAAACCCTGCTGCACAGGGGTGCTTTGGGATTGAAGAGACTGAGTGATGCGTACTGTGCCCCACTCCCTCCCTTCCTCCAGGGCAGTCACCTGCACCTCCCTGTGTTTTTTGAAATGCTGGGCTCTCGCCCTTCTAGGAACCCGGGCATGTCTTCCTCCCTGGTAGCTGCCTGCTGCCTCCCACCTTCAAGTCCTCACTGAAAGTTTCCAGACTCAGGAGGGGCTGCAAGGAGCCAAGCCCTGGGAGGGCCACTTGCCTGGAGGGTCCAAGGACAGCAGGAGGACAGGGTGGCTGGCGAGGACTGGATTGGGTGATGTGCTCAAAGGGAGAGCAGGAATCCAGACCGATGGAGCTCCGCAAAGCCATTGTGAGGATTTTGGGATTAACTCAGAGTGTAATGGGAAATCAACAGATGATATAAAATACTTCAGTCTGTTTTTCAAAACAAACCAGCATTGTCTAACTTTGTTTACTATAGGTTCCAAAAACATTGTAAAATTGTAATTGCTGTGAGCCCACCCTTGGAGTGCTCTGAAGAGAAGAGGAGGAAGAGTTGCTCTCCTTCTATCGCAGGATCACTCTGTCACTCTGGCCCTTAACCAGCGGAGAACAGACAGCAGTGAGTGCGGGGCCAGGCGACAGCACGAAGGACAAGATGATGGTGGAGGTGAACAGAAGGGACAAAGAAATGGTTGACTCTCAGACATACCGTAAAGCCGAAGACAATAGAATTTGTAGAGACGAGATATGGCGTTCTTTTCAAAGCCATATTTTATTCTTACCCAGATATGGTGAGGCCAGCACACCAGGAGACAAGTGCCACTGGAAAACAGTTGGCTCCTTGGAACTCACCGTTCCCAAAGGAGAGGGCACCACCGTGGAGCTGGCACAGGGCTTGGGGGCCGGGGGTTGGGGGG